CTGTAAGTAATACTATTGATAGAGCAACTACTCGAACTGGAGCACTTGGGAAAAATATCTAATCACAACGTTTTTTGAAAACAAAAGATTCTTAAGTTTTTTTTTTACAAACGGACCAGTTATATTTATTTTATTGATTGTTAGTAGTCCCTCTCGTAATTTTTATCGCTGCACCGGTTGTTTCCAGTCGAACATAAACATCGCATGCACTGGAATACTCAAAACGCGGCGCGTAAATATCACTCGCTTTTAAAGATTAAACATAACAAAGCCATAAACCGTTTTATAAATAAAGGGAAATAAAACCTAAACATAACAAATTCTCTATCATGTTGAAGCGTAAATGGTAACTCTATTAATCGCACTGCAAATTTGGTGCCTGTGAGAAGTGTGAGAACCTGTCCGGCTGGCCGAAAAGGTGATTTTGGGATTTTTTTTATCGTTTTCACTAAAAGCAGATAATTATTACCCTGCATATCACATAGGACCAGATTTTTCTAACTGAAAAGTCCCGGCATTATGGAATTCTCTTCATGAAAACGTTTTATAATGTGGTCAATGCTATAATTTATTGTGTAAAGGAAGCGCGTGCTTTGATCGTCCTGGATATTGAATGAGTGCAATTTGTCTTGCAAAATTGTGAAAAACTGCAGAATTATAGGTTTTGATAGGGCAAAAAAGAACAAAATTCTGTCCAAGGTTTGTAAAGATAAAAAAGGGCCTCAAATTAGTTCTGTTTACCTGAGACGTGATGAGAAAAAGTATGTTTAAAAGGCTGGTTTACACGCCACCAGATTCGTCGCCAAGATTTACTTGTAAAGTAAACTTGTCGAACACAAAAAAGTCCGGCCTGATTTTTTATTTTGGCTTCCCTTTTAGACAGAGGAATGCAACGTGTAAATTGGCTGCCTGGACCAAGGACTATCGTGGCGCGTGTGTTTCTTAAAATTATATTTCGGGGTTGTCCAATTATCCATAGTCTCTCAAACGGAGCAATGTTGGAGCGACTGGTGAATGCCACATTATGATGCAACAGCTAATGCAAATACAATACACGAATAGGTCTATTTGTTTTCCAGGCCTAATCTACTGTGATCGAACATGATTGCTATTTTTGGGTGTACAAATAAGACTATTAACTCGATGTAAAATTTGTTTCACTCTTGAACTATCAAATTATTTTTCTCTAAAGTCACTTAGCCTTTGCCTCAAAAGTCACATGAATGTGCCCTGATCTGTGGATTACCAGTTTATTGTTTGATTTAAATTATGAATTTATTAACGGGAGCTTCGCCTTTAGCCCTGGCCATAGTTATTAGAGGAGACTGGTTATGAAAAGCGGCAAACATCAATGATAAAAACAACAGTGCTGCAGTTTATGTTGGAAGCACCCTGAAAGTGCACAATCCTTTGTTTTCTGTTGGCAAATTGTTACGGAATAAATTAATGCAACGTTTTTATTGGTCAATACAATCAAAATGACAGGAATTCTTTTGAACGTTGTGCACTTTCAGGTCCACAAAAACATATAACAAAGGAGTCTGACGGGTTTCATAACCATTCCACTCAACTCAGCCAGGGCATAGTTAACTATGCCCTGGCTAATTCTATATATTAATAAAACGCTTCAAACTTTAGTTGAATTATTATGTCTGTATTGAAAGCATCTTACAGAACAGTAAATCGCCAATATATTCCAATATAAATGTAAATTTCGAATGACAAACTATCAAACAAGGGATCAAAAATAATCCACCACTTAAGCTTCAAGTTCAATTCGAATTTATAAATTTTAATTAATATTTAGCAAAAAGGAGTCCTTAAGTTCTTTAGCTGATCAGTTTTAACTGCCTTATTGCCGTCGTCCTCTTTAGTTTCATTTAGAATTAGGTGCTGTTCAATCTTCAATTTTTTCCCGGAGGTAAGTGATACTCAGAAACCCCATTTAACATTTTAAGGTAGTACCTTGAAAATGAATTTTGTAACTTTTATGAACCCACAAAACCTTTACGTTGAAATAGTGCTGAAAAGTGCAATTTTAAAAATTTAAACGTATTTTCCGGCTAAATACGTTTTAAATACCTGTAAAATATTATTTTAGTACCACAGATAGTTATTTTTCAATTTGTAAACGTACTATGGGCATTAGTGTTTTCAAGTCAGTTTCAGCATAGAAAAGAGAAAGAAAGTTTTCCACCGAAGCTTTATGCAATTTATTTGAAAAAGCGTGATAATGTGCAGAGTTTTTGATTTGCTGTATATTTTTTTCGCAACTTACATGTTAATGCTCCATTTTCCCACTAAAATGCCCGGTCGATCCTCATAAAGTCATTAAAATTCTCGAAAAATGCTCCTCATAGAGAGGCGTTTTACATTTTTTCTAAACGTTTAGAAATAATAATAAGAAATCAAGCAAATTTCGTCACGGAGCATTAACCATAAGAATGACAAAGTCTTAAGTATCAAAACTGATGGGACCATTAGTTTTGGGATTCAGTTGATGCACAGACGCGTTTTAGGTTATTTAAATGCTAGCAAATAGCGTGGTAATAACTCCTTAACCGTTGGAGTTTTCATAATTTGTCTGCGATCCCAAATGACGATGAAGTGGACTACACGGATTTCTCTGCTTATTATTAATTAAAATATGTTAATACTTATCAACTATACATCTAAAACTTAATAAGGAAGTTTTCGCCTGAGGAAGACCTGCAGTGTGCGGTCGAAACGTCGCGATCAATATCAAAGTGACAATCGTGAGACAAACGATAAACTAAACCCTTTATACACATTATCCACGATGATTAATATCTTTCATGACAAGGAAGTTTTCAATTCCCGTTTTTCAGTCATCAGAAAAACAAAAGTGAAAGCATTAGTTTAACAGCCCCCCCCAAAAAGTCCCCGACACTTACTTTAATTTTTGACTTCAGTGGCTGAGTGTTAGTTTGGGAAAAAAAAAAAACAAAAACAAAGAAAAAGTAATATGTATTATCGTTGGTTGGCTTACTAGTAATTTGGCCATATGTTAGTTTCACACGATCCCAAAACATTAATAACAATAATACATCCACTTTACTTTGGCCACTGATAATTTTTTTTAGCAAATGATAACTTGCGTTTGCTGAGAAATCAATATAATTATACTATTCTCGTTTCCTTCGAGTTATGGCGTAAATATATTTATAAGACCTTATAAAATAACTAAGATAGTACGCGCGCTCTGATTGGGCGAGAGAAGTGTTTGCATGAGATTATGTAAACATGGTTGTGGCGCCAAAATGTTTGCGCTAATCACGCAAGCACGAATTTGAAAAAGTTTTCGAGTTAAAAACTCGACAAGTTTAATTTATTTACCCATTCCTTCGTCGGCTGAAACTTGGAAAATCGTTACAAAG